TCAGCACTTGGCATAGTTTTCACTGCTGATATTGAACTTCTCCAACAGTTCCTTCCACAGGTATCAATCTGATACCTGTGCATTCCATCAGGTGAAATCCATGTGTATACTAACAATTATGGTTTGCATATGGGGTTTTGCAAAATCCTAGTGTTTCAGAGATAATCGTGGGTTCTACAGAGGTTTGATTAACATTTTATTTTTAATTGTACCATGAGCAGAAACTACTTGGCACACTGTAGGTGCCACCACGTAAATGTCACAATCTGCAGACCTTCAGGATGGTAACCTCTGCCTGTTTCACCTGTTTTTCTGCACGGCTCGGAAGAGTTTCTGTGGTCACCCTACATGTACATGAACTTTCTATAATCTCACTAATTACAAAAGTTGTAGTTCTACATCAGCATTTTGAAAGCATTCAAGTCGACTTATCGAAAACTTGGCTGTGCGGGTAGACTATTATAAATATGATGTGACTACTAGAACAGTAAGGCGGAGGAACATGTTTGCATGTGGCAGAATGTTCCCTTGGATAGTAACAGAGTTAACATGTCAGGGTGGGAAAATTTTATTCTATAGTCTAAATACTTTTACTTACATTTTAAAATATGTGTGGATGAAGCATGCCAGGATTGTGGTTAGCTCCAGTAAGGAAGTGACCAGAAAGACATCTGAGGGGCTTCTATGGCATTTACGTGGTGACACGTAATTTGGTGATTTGGCTGTTAGAATTTTGAATTTGAGGATTTAGAATCTTAAAATTCACAAAGTTAAAATATTATGATGTATTAATTTTTCAAAAGGTGTATTATATTTTAATAAAATACTATAAACAATAAGGTTTGGGGTGGGTTAGTGATTTATCTTGGAATCTAGTATTTCCTATTTCTCTTCTTTTCAGCATCTAGATTGGTTTAGTCAACTAGTATTCTCAGACAACAAAGCACACTGATCAGAAAATTTCCACCTGCAACTGTTTATGAAATAAATAAATAAAAATTAATACTTTATAAGAAAAGGAGTTTAAAATCTAATGAAAGTCTAGTGGAGACAATAACAAAGATCTTTAAGTGCTGGTTTGAATAATTTCAGAAGAATGCTCCAGATGAATGGAAGTATTGTCTAAAAGGAATGTATAATTAGGTTTTATATATGACAATTAACAATAGGGAACAAGAGGTGCATTACAAAGTGGATTGAGTAAGGGAGGAAATGTCCATCAATGAATGAATGAAAATCCAACCTATCTATAAACTTTCATTAAAATCACAATTAAAACAACAACAACAACAAAATGTTACTGTTCTAACACTGTAAGTATTGTGATTGTTGTTAGGTGATGTCAAGTTGCTTACAACTCATAAGAACCCTATGAACAGTGGATCTGAACCCCATCCTATCCTCTGGCATCTTCACACTCCCTGACACACTAGAGCCTATTGTGGCAGTTCATAGTATTAGTCCACTTGGTTGAAGGTCTCCCTCTCCTTCGCTGACCCTCCACCCATCCTAGCATCATGACCCTCTCCAAGGAATAGGTCCTCCTAGCAACATGCCCAAAATATGTGAGGTAAAGCATCATCATCCTTGGTGAAACCTCATCATCCTTGCCTCCAAAAAAAAAACACTCTGGTTGCACCCTCTCCAATACATATCTGCTTGTTCTTTTGGCCATCCATGTGATGTTCAGTGTTGTTCTCCAACACTACAGCTCTATTCCTCCTCTGTCATCCCTATTCACTGTCCAGCTTTTAGATACATGGTAAGTAATCAGAAAGATCATGACATGAATCAGCACCTTAGTTCTCAAGTGGATATTATTACTCCTCAATAATTTGGAGAGGTCTCTAACTGTAAATTTTCCCAGTGCAATGCATCTCTTTATTTCCTAATTGCTGGTTCCAAGGGTGTTAATTGTAGATCCAGGTAAGATGAAGTCATTGATAATTTCAATCTCTCCTCCATCCATCATGATGTTGCCTACAGGTCCAGTGGTAAAAATCTTTATTTTCTTGATGTTGAGATGTAATCCATATTGAAGCCTGCATTCTTTGATCATCTGCAACAAGTGCATCAAGTCCTCCTCACTTTCAGCAAGCATCATTGTATTATTTGCATAATGCAAGTTATTGATGCCACATTCCTCTTCATAGAGTCCAGCTTCTTGAATAATTTGCTTAGTATACAGATTGAATAGGTATGGAAAGAAAATACAACCCCGACACAATCCCCTCTTAATTTTAAACCATGCAGTATTTCCCTACTCTGTTCACACAACAACCTCCTGGTCCAGGTATGGACACGTTTTGCCTGAGCACAATTAAGCGCTCTGAGACTCCCATTCTTTTCAATGCCAGCCATAAGCTGCTATGATCCAGAGGGCAAACACCTTCGTAGAGTCAATAAAGCATAAATAGACATTCGTCTGGTATTCGCCACTTTTAGCAGGATCCATCTGACATAAGCAGTAATGTGCTTGGTGCCTTCTACATCCTGCTTGAACTTCTGGAAGTTCCCTATCTATGTACTGTCCTAGCCATTTCTGAATGATTGTCAGCAGTGTTTTGCTTGCATGTGATATTAATGATATTGTTCGATAGTTTCCAAATTCTGTTGGATCACCTTTCTTGGGAATGAGAACAAATATGGACCTCTTCCAATCTGTTGGCCACACAGCTGTCCTCCAAATCATTGGAGAAGATCAATATTGGCAAGTCAAAATTACACCAAGGGCAGACTGTGGGTCAGAACACCAATTACTCATACGCAAGTTCAAACTGAGGTCAAAGAAAAGGAAAATAAGTCCACAAGAACCAAGAGATGATTTTAAATCTATTCCATCTGAATTTTAAGATCATCTTAGGAATGGGTTTGAGGCACTAAACACCAATGATTGAAGACTGGATGACTTGTGGATGATATCAAGGATATCATCCATGAATAGAGCAAAAGACCATTACAAAGACAGAAGAGAAAGAAAAAACCTAAATGGATGTCTGGGAAAACTCTGTAAATTGCACTAGAGCATTGAGAAGCCCAAACAAAGGGAAAACATGCTAAAGTAAAAGGGCTGAACAGAGGATTTCAAAAGGCAGTTCAAGAGGACAAAGCAAAGTATTATAATGGAATGTGCAGAAATATAGAATTGGAAAATAAAAATAGAAGAACTTGCTCTGCATTTCTCAAGCTGAGATAACTGAAAAATAAACTTAAACCTCAAGTTGCAATATTGAAAGATGCTATAGGCAATATATGGGATGACTCAAGAAAACATCAAAAGAAGATGGAGGAAATACACAGAATCACTGTACCAAAAAAGAACTGACTGATACTGAAAAAATTCAGGAAGTATCATATGAACAGGAGCCAACAGTAATGAAGGAGGTAGTAGAAGCTTCACTGAAGGTATTGGCCTCAGGAATCAATGGGATATTAATTGACTTGTTTCAATTAGCAGATAAAGTTATGGATGAGCTCACCAGTCTATGCCAGGAATTTGGAGGAATACTCTAGGTAAATACTATAAATATAAACATATATTTATACTGATACAATACCACCTTAAAGAATATAGAGCTCTACATCATATTTCTTTTTTTTCCAAAGCTAATTTGTAGTTAAGTTTATTAATCTGCATGCTCCCCAGATAATTTACTCACAATGTTTCATCATTTGCCATATTTCTTTTTTTTTAATTTTTAAATTTTTTTTAATATTTGTTA